ATCCTGCAGGCCACAGAGGGATGTCCCACGTGGGTCAGATCCCTCAGGCCACAGAGGGATGTCCCACGTGGCTCAGATCCTGCAGGCCACAGAGGAACTTCCCACGTGGCTCAGATCCTGCAGGCCACAGTGGGACGTCCCACGAGGCTCAGATCCTGCAGGTCACAGAGGGACGTCCCACGAGGCTCAGATCCTGCAGGCCACAGAGGGACGCCCCCGTGGCTCAGATCCTGCAGGTCATTGAAGAACGTCCTGCTTCATCCATTTGGTTTCAAACAGCACAGGTGTTTTGAGACCGTGTCCTCAGTGCTAGTCACAAAGGCAGCTATCAGAGGTTTACAGTGGTACCCTGCATAGCATAAGCTGCAAGCCGCTGTGTTCACCACTCAAGGGCATTCCTTCGTGAACCCTCACTATCAGCTGTAGGACACAGCTTTCCCCGAGGAAGATGCCCTGTATACCATCGACAGCAACAGCACCCAGTGTCCACTGGGTACTCGCTACTTTCTAGGCACTGGGCTACGGCGATGTGCATGCCTCAACTCACCACCAGCTGTTGACTCCACGTGCCTCTGATGAACTCCAGTTTGGGAAAATCTGAGCCTTTGTTCATAAGTGAGCCAGTGTTCCTAGTTCCCTCCCACGAAGCCAAGGTCTTCCCCCCCACGTGCTGTCCTCCAGCGAGTTGGTTTTTTTAAATAGGAACCTGATTGCTTCTTTGTTTCCCTAAAATTCACCCAAATCTGAATTTTTCTCCTTCCTATTTTTTTTCTCCCTTCTGAAAAACACGTGCCCACAAATGAATCAACCAGCAAAGTTTGGAAGGAAGGATTCCTGTATTCAAAGATCCCCCATTCATCAGACACCGCCTTCTTCTTCCAGTGTGGTTCCTGTTCCCGCCTATCTGGGCACGGTTCAGGCGAAAAGAAGGCAGCAGACATAAGGAAAAGTGTCTTTAGTTGTCATTGCCTTTCCACTTCTAACCTCCCGCAGTGACACACACACACACACACACACACACACACACACCCATCTGCTTTCATCATTTTCCCCTGTAGTTCAATCAATGCCACAAACTTTGCTGCCCCCTAGTGGCAGCCCAAGAGAATACCACTACAGCCTCCAGAGTCCACTTGCCTGACGACTCTCACCCATTTTCCTTTTCCACTGTACTTTGTAAATATAGCAAGATTAGACAGACCCTATTTAAAATTGTGAAATACGTGGTGCTTAGAGCGAACACCTGGATATGTTTGCTGCCACAGCAAACAGACATAAAGATCAGAGGCACCAAGATTCAATTTACAGAAACCTAGCTACAACAGTTGGCCAAATTTATGCTGCTTGGTGAAGCCAAAAACTGTACTAACCAGCCTATTGTTATGACATACACAAACACTTTCAGGATTAATTTTTTTTAAACAGATCCAGGGCTAGTTGTAGCCTCCTTTCCTGCGACTATCCCTGTGCTTTGTCCCAAGCACAGCAGCCAGGGTCCCTGTGCCCCATCCCCGCATTGATCTAAAGCAGCTGACAAATCACTGAGACCTTTGCAGACAGGCTCTACGTGTGCTTCAGGGAGTCACTGCTCACTCCTGCTCTGTGTGAACATTATTTTACTAGTGTAGTCTTTGCAGATGTAACTCCCTTGGGGTAAGCCTTAACATGGCTGGGATCCTTGTATGGCTGGTAGACAGAGCCACACAAGGAGAATGCCAAGTGAAGACTAGATTGTAGGGTCATTCATGGAAGCAGAAACACAGACCTCTATGAGAAGATGACCATGTGAAGAGGTAAGGACCCAGTCATACCCCAAGGGGAAGACAGCCATTGGAAAAGGCAACAACACACACACACAACCAATGGGAAATAGGTCATGTGTAGATGCCAGTACACACTAAAGACTGAAAATCTTCAGAGGTGTCTATCTTGCTGACACCATGACTCTGGATCTCTAGCCTCCAAACTGTGAGGACTGCTGGGACCCACACAACTGTTACAGTACCCCTCAGAGTGTAAAACAAAACCTGCCCAAATTTGCTTTCTATGGAAGTAATAAACCCATGACCCAAAGCAACTGGGACATTTAAGTTTACGGGTTACAGTGCACAGCGAAGCCAGGGCAGGAACCTAGAGGCAAGAAGGGAAGCAGAGACCGTGGACAAGGATGCTCACTGGCTTGCTCCCTGACAACACCCACAGTGGGCGGGGCCCTTCTGCATCAACTAGTAACTAAGAAAATAGCCCACGGGCAGTCTGATCTGCGCAATCGAGGCTCCCTCTTCCCATGGAACTCTGGGTTTGTCAGCTGGGGCTGCTCCTGTCGGTGCTCCACAGGGCTCCGATCCTGCAGACCGCAGGGATGTCCCACAGTCACAGGACTCCTTCTCGGGCATTGAAGCCCAGGGCCAAAAGGAGCAAGTGAGGAAGCCAAAATGAGCCCAGGCTGTTCTTCCTGTGCTGCTGCTTCTCAAGACCACATGACAGGGTACTCATCACTAGTGCATGCATCCTCTCCGAGGCAGCCCACTGCACGGCAAGACGGGGGACTGCCTAAACCGGAAGGCACCAGAGACACAGGAGTGTGGTGCAAAGTCCTCGGCAGAGCGGTGATTGGTCAGCTGGCCCTGTCCTCTGCAAGGCCACAGACCGGCTGTGGGAGAAGCTAGGTTTCTAGTTGCCTCCCACATGTTCCCTGAATCTGCACCCAGACAAAGCAGGGCCGCTGATGCACAGAATAATGCAGCTCATTCCTCATTCCCTCCAGGCATCCCCTAAGCCAACCTAAACAGCTGTTTTTCACTTCCATCCTTCTTACCAAGTATCACTCCCACCCATACAGGAAGAAAAAGATAAAATGTCTTTCTGACCCTTATTAGAAAGCACACACATCTAAAGAGCATGTCTTTATTAGCAGACAGCTGTTAATAACAAGACATACATTTCACATTTACTCATTACACTGCTTTACTGTATTTGAACGATCCTGCTCGATGCAGTCAAGGCATCTACAACATCGGTACTGAGTTGACTTTAACTTTACCACCAACGCACATAGACATGGTAATTTACCACTAACACACATATACACGGTATAGAACAGCCACAGACCCTTTTCAGATCCCAAGTCTGTAAACACATTCCCATACAGCAGCTAATTCACAGACTCATCTGTCTCTTCCAAATGTGAGTTTCTCACTCTGCATCCCGAAGCCAGTTTCCTTTGTTACCAATGGACAGGAGAGTTTTGAGAAAATAGTTTTCTTTGTAAATATTCCACCAATTCAAATCTTGATGTAAGCAGCTCCAGCTCATGATAGGGAACCTGTTGGGGGAAAGCAACCATTAAAATCTGCCACCATCCCAGGCCGCTCCGCTGTTCCTCTACCTCGCCTCTTACCGCATCCTCCAGCAGAGGGGCCACAGTCACACCTGACTCCTGCAGCTGGAGCTCCCGGCTGGGCAATGCTGGCAGAGGGCAGCTCAGGGGACAGGAGGAGAGGGCCAAGGAAACTCGTGAACAGTACCGAGGGGAAGTCTGTGCTCACTTGAGAGAGACAAGCCGTGAACCTGAGCTGAGGGCCAATGAACCACTAGAGTTTACAAAAAGCCCGAGACAGGCCTGGCTATGGAAACACCAAGGGCAGAGGAAGACAGCGGAGAAAAATGGAGGGCTTGAGATGGGGAAAGTGGAGAGGGATGGGGCAGGGCAAGAGAAGAGAGAAGGATGGGGAAAGGGGGAATAAAGAGGAATAGGGGTAAGCACCAGAGTTTGGAGCATGAGCCGGATGGCAGGCCATGTGTCTGAAGGGTCCGCTGTGTGCAGACCGGATAGTGAATGGTCCCAAATACTAAGACAGAAGTCTCTAGTTTCGGTAAAAGCAATAAAGATACAGTGGTTTCTGAACACACACTGCATGGCAACTTTCAGAAAATGAATTTGGGAATGCGCAGGATACCATGGAAAAGCACCAGAAAGCAAGCTAGAGAGGAGTTAGTAAGTACTAAGACAACGAACGGGGGACCTGCTTGTCCATGTTTACTGCACCGGAGACATGCACATTATGTTTACTGCACCGGGGACATGCACATCATGTTTACTGCACCGGGGACATGCACATCATGTTTACTGCACCGGGGACATGCACATCATGTTTACTGCACCGGGAACATGCATATCATGTTTACTGCACCAGGGACATGCACATCATGTTTACTGCAACCCCCCAGCAGACCTTCCGAAGTCCCTACTGAAAACACAATGTTGCAAACACCAAGGGTAGATGAAGACCCTGGAACCACGTCCCTTGACTTACCGACTAAATCAGACAGAAACAGAAGCAGAACCTATCCCAGGAACTTAGCGATTCCAGG